ATAATATATATATATATATATATATATATATATATTAGAATATTATTGAGCTTAAATTTAATTAGAGCGATAATACAATAAAAATGAAATAACAAAATTGAATAAGAAATTAATAGATATTATGAAAAAATAAGAAATTAAAATTCTAATATACACCAAACTTTAAAAATATATAAACTAAAATATTATCGAAACTAATTTAAGTAGAATTATATATGAATAGAATTTAAATTTAATATAAAAATGGGTATGTGTTCTTTTCTAAAGTAAAAATTAAACTCCAGTATAAACGAAACCTAAAATATATATTTATATTCGTGGTTAAATTAGCCCAATTTAAATTTTATCAAGAACATTTTTTTGTCCGTAGTCTAACAATTTGAAAAAAAAAAAGAATCTTGTGGGTGGGTTGCTATTATATTTTTAAAAAAATATCCTGATAAGGCTCATTATTCTTTAAGCAAAAACATTCAGTAAGCACCTCCTTAAATACATATATTATTACCCTACAAACACATCATAAAAGAAACATTTCTAGATATAGATGAATCTTATAGAATATAGGAATCTAATATTAGATATTTCCTATCTCACCAAAAGAACAAATTAGTCATATCATCTCCAAAAGGTGTTAGCAAATAATAGAAATTCCTTTTTCTTAAATCCCCATATAAATAAATAATATATATATATATATATTATATAAATGGTGCGTGCCGATTGCCGAATCTTGGCATGACTGTTACCGAAACACGTCTGTTATCTCTCTGCCTTTCATTTATCATATCCACCAAGGCCCACATCTCAATAGGCCATCCACCGTACTAAACCACTAGTTTCTCGACACGTGTCCAGCTCTATCGGACAATGGGCTTTCAGTTTCGGCCCAAACTAGTTTAACCTATGGCCTCGTGTCAGAAGAATAATCCGAGCCGAATTGATATTGGGCCCAAAGGTAAGGCCCAAAAGTAAGAAACTGTTAGCTTTCCTCAAGAAAACGATGTCGTTTAGGAGGAGGAGCCATGTGAAACTTGGCACTCCCCGACGAGCTGCTTCGCTGGTGTGAGTGTGAGAGATCGGGGAATGGCGTCGTCTTCTCCGACTCAGCGGACTCACGTCCCGATTCCTCCTGATTCAGGTACGTTTGACGCAATTTGTTATTCTTCTCGAAACTCGATTACGATTTTCACCTTTCTGTTCATCGGATTTTTCCCTGTTGATCTAATCCTTCAAGTTTTGACGGTAATCGTATGATTTTCTCTGCTAATATTCAATGTAGTTTCTTGTGCTAATCGCGCTGTTACGCAGTTGATTGTCGTAATTTTTCGTAAATCAATTGATTTTCGCCGATAGTCATGTGATTTTCTCATTAGTTTCGTGTTTTCTCCGTTGATCAGTGGCTTTCACGACGATCAAATGGCCGTTATTCATGATTTTAGCTGCTAATCTTTAAATTTCTTCTGGTAACCATGTGATTTTCTCTAGTAATATTTCATTCTGTGCGATCTCCTGTGTTAATCGCCTGCATCATCTACTGATCATCGTATTTTCTTCGTCGATCGTTGGATTTTTGTGGATAATCATCGATTCATTGCTTAATCATGTCGATTTCTCCGTTGATCCGTGGATTTTTCACTATTATCGAATGGAGGTTTGCTCGATAGTATGGGTTTGGGTGTTATAGTGGATTTCGTGTGTTCATCCTATCTTGATCTCGAATGTGCGATTCTCTATTCATCCTGTTGCGGTGAGGAATTTTTCATCATCAGGATTTGGTTTTGCCTAGCAATTTTTTATCGTTTTCTGGGGTGTAGGAGTGTCATTTCAAGGTAGAGGTATTGTATTCTTGTTAGAACATCTACAATTGTCTAGAATTGCTATTGGCTGTTAGCCTGTTTGTATATGAAAGTTTTTTGCTTAATTTCTGTGTTTGAGCCAAAATTACTTATATGCCATGTAATAAGGTTACACGGAAGCAGAACTTCCCTTAAGTGACTTTTTTGTCATAAATCTCGTTTTAGGATTGAGATACCTTGATTCTAGGGAATTAGAGAAGAGATGTACAAATTGTGGTTTAGCTTTGGATGTTCTGATGTATGTGGAGCTTTTGGCAATTAAGATTACGGTACAATAAGCTATGGGAAATACTGAAAATTATTCATTGAGCATAGAATATTATCTTTTTACTAACCTTCTCTATACAATTTCCCGGAAATTTATTAGAACACAATCCAATTCCAATGGAATTTAGCCCATTTGAATGATATATTAGAACGTCATATAATTTACTGGAATGTAGAATTTATTGTTTTGTGTACTGCTACTTGTTTATATCCTGCATCCATAGAAGTACTTAGAATGTTATTCTTTATAACACCAGAAATTCTTTTAAAAAAATTTCCTGTAGGTGGCAGTTCTTTGAGTCAAGAAGCTAATGAGCCACCAGTTCCTATTCACATAGTGACAGATGCTTCGCAACTTCCTATTGAGTTCCTCAACCCCACTCCTGAAAAAAAGTTGGTAATTGGCTTTGACTGCGAGGGTGTTGACCTTTGCCGTCATGGCAAGCTTTGTATTATGCAGGTGAATTTTATGAATGTTTTACTCAATTGGATATCCTGAGATGATGTCCACTTTTTTCTATGTCAATGGGAAGTATATAGGGTTTTAACATATTTCATTCTGTGTTTTTAGTGAACTGCTCCTGGTTGTTTGTCATTCTTATCTGAAGTTCTGTCTTGGCAGATTGCATTCCCAGATGCAATATACTTAGTTGATGTCATCGAAGGTGGAGAGGTTATTATGAAAGCCTGTAAGCCTGCACTCGAGTCTAATTACATCACAAAAGTTATTCACGATTGCAGACGCGATAGTGAGGTGTCTGAACATTTTGTTGACTTGTTATTGTGGCTCATAACATGAACATCGTGAGATAACTTTGAATCGATCCTGTACTTGTAGGCCTTGTACTTCCAGTTTGGGGTTAGGTTGCAGAATGTTGTGGACACCCAGGTACATTATCTACATGGCATGACAAATGACTTGCTTAGGCTGTTTTCTATCTTAGACGTTCAATTTTTCCATGGTTGAGCATGTTTTTCCCAGTTCTCGTTCTACCCTCTTATTCTTTCTGCTTCACAGATTGCTTATTCTCTGATAGAGGAACAAGAAGGCAGGAAAAGACCCCTAGATGACTATATATCGTTTGTTTCCCTCCTTGCAGATCCACGCTACTGCGGTACTTTCTATATCATCATGTTTGTTTTAGTTTTCTCATTATCTGTTGACCTTCTTATTCTTCAGAATTTTATTTATTTTAAAAATCATATCGTTCACTGTGAAATAATGGTATTGCTTTTGCACATGATTGTCAACTCAAATCAATTATGTTGGCTGAATTCATTGTTAGGCATATCCTATGAAGAGAAAGAAGAAGTCCGTCTCCTCCTACGTCAGGTTTGTTTGCACCAGTTTATTGCTAAAGCCGTGCTACTTAAATACTTGAGAATGAATTTCCTCAGTTGGATAACAGATTTGCTTTTTGTTTCCCTTTTGACTCTTTTGGAAATTTAGGATCCAAATTTTTGGACTTACAGGCCATTGTCTGAGCTAATGGTCCGTGCAGCAGCAGATGATGTCCGCTTCCTTCTCTATATATATCACAAGATGACGGAGAAACTGAACCAGCGTTCCTTATGGCACCTTTCAGTTCGTGGTGCCTTGTACGCCCGATGTTTTTGCCTAAACGATAATGATTTTGCCGATTGGCCTTCCCTTCCTCCGATTCCAGGTCTGTAAATAAGACACTGTAACCTAATTTCCCTTGACTCGTCCGTTCCACATTCTCTTGTGTCGCTTTCCAACTTTTTTTTGGTCGTTTGCCCTAAATAATTGTTGCATAAAAAACGGATTTGTCAGTAGGATCGTTTACTTATGCAAAGATGAATTTGATTATAGTGGGGAGTTAATGATTTCAGATAGCCTGAAGAAAGAGGGGGAGAATCTCGAAGAAGAGATCCTTTCGGTGCTTGATGTTCCTCCGGGAAAGATGGGTCGTGTCATCGGACGAAAGGGATGCTCCATCCTTTCAATCAAGGAATCTTGCAAGTAATAAGCTCCTATCCTCCATCTCTTCCTCTCGTTCTTTTTTTTTCTTCTCATTACAATACTTTCACAGTTCGAGTTCGAACAAAGAGGATGCATGCTGCAAACTCCGGTTGGCCATTTCGGGTTTGGGTTCGGGTTCAATTTGGTTATATTCGGGTTCGATTATTTCGGTTTTAGAAAAACTATAATTATTCAGCATTTATATTGAATTGGGTTCGGAACCGGTTTTCATTGATAAAATTTTCACATTTTTTTATTCGGTCCCTTTTTCGGTTTTAAAAAAATCATGATCATTAGGATTATGGTTATGTATTATTGGGTTTGGTTCGATTATTGACCAAATCGGCCATCCCACTGCAGACATCACCGCAAAACCGCACACTGTTTCAGAAAGAGTTTTAGTTTTCGGGTGAATCAAGTCCAACTTTTTGTTTGTTTGGTTTGGTTGCAGTGCGGAGATCCTAATAGGAGGCTCCAAAGGTCCGCCGGACAAGGTTAGTACAAAAATGCACACCCAATATCCTATAGAAGCTGTATTGATCACAATGAGATGTAATGTAACAATAACAATGCTGAAACCAAATAAACCATTCTTTGTTTTTTTTCCTGGGGGGTTTCGAAAGGAAACTAGTAATGTTGTTTTTGAATGGCAGATATTCGTAATTGGGCCAGTGAGGCAGGTACGAAAGGCAGAAGCATTACTGAGAGGAAGAATGGTGGATTTCTTCTGAGTCCAGAGACCTCTCTCCCTCCCATCTGTAACTGTTGCACCCCCACCCTCCCCAACTTGTGGAAACTCTTTGATCCCCTTGCCAAGATCCCTCGAGAGTCCCAATTTCAATAATAATAAAAAAGTTGCACATTTCAGAGGGTTTTCTTTCATAAATTTGTCAAAAGGTTTAAAAAAAAAAAAAGACAATGACAAATGGGATTATCTATTTACAGTGAGCCGGAGACTTTGCAAAAAAAAAAATTGTCAAAGTCAGCCGCTGGATCCATTACAATATTTTCAACCGAAAACAAAAACATCTTCACCGATTTGCTTCCTCTGTACTGTTAAAAAACCAAGAAGCTGTAAAGAGTGCATAAGAAATCCACAATTCAAGAAATCTACTGTGTGATGGGACAGAAGTGCATTTATCAGAATCATTGTGCTGAGCTGATGCCTTCGGAGCACCAGAGATGAATTGGCTCGACCCTGAATGATGTTCATGGTCATTTTGTTTTTACCAAGGTGAGTTTCTTCTACTGCTACATGGAGAATATGTTTTCAACACAGTAAAACTGCCTCTGAGGCGAAATTTAAAACATATGAAATTGCATACGATCAAAACTGTCCCTTGTGCTGCTCCCGCTCCTACAATCATCACCACCTCCAACAGACACAATAACGAATCCGCATACGATCAAAACAAATTCCCAGCAAACCATGACGTAATTCACGTAACTTCATATGAAATTGCAACGGAACAGTGGGGAAATGCAACGCTATCTACGACGAAATAAAAACAGAATCGTTTCACCTTCTGCTCGATCTCAGGAATCTGCAACACTTTGGGAATCACCTCTCTCTTTCTGAAATTAGAAAACTAATCGAAATCCATTAGTACCACGTCATTGAAAGTACAAAGCACACACCTGAAAATCGAACGAGAAATTCAGGGAATAGAACTCACTCACTCACTCACATCTCGCGAACCGCCTGGTCGATCACTTTCATGAAATCCATGATGAAATCTGCAGAAGCTAAACACTAGACGGGGGAGACTAAACATGCAAATACGAGAAAACGTGAGATGGATCGAGAAATTCCGAAGAACATAAACCCTAAGAATTCTACCGTTAATGTTTTCCTGAGCTGCGAAGCAAAAATGAAAACGAAAAAGAAAAATTGTTGGATCAAAGAAGTTCCTGATTCTCGATGATATTCCAAAGTAACGAAACTGAACCAATACAAATAGCTTTGCCTTGCCTCCTTTTTTTTCTTCCTTTACACATTCTTCCTTTCTTTTGCTTAGATTATTTATCTATGTTTTAAAATATTTGTCATTCTACATTTTTAACATATTTATTGTAATAGTTTTCAATTTTATCCTTATTAAATTTTAATAAATTATTAATGATAACATTGTTTTTATCATTAAATAAGAATATATATGGCTTTTTTTATCTTTTCTTAAAAAATATAAAATAATCTAAAACCATAATTATTTTAAAACGGATGGAGTATTTTTTTTAGGCTATTTTATTTTAATACAACATTATAAAAACATCCAAAAAAATAATAATCAAGTAATATATAAAATAATATTTCATCGGACTCCAAGTTTTTTTAATATTAATCAAATTAATTAGAGTTATCGTTGAAGTTAGGGTCAGTGAGAATTTGATCGTATTCGAATTTAATTTTAATTAAAAATTGATCAGACATAAAATTTTAAATTAAATTAAATAAATAATACGAAAATAAATATGTACGAATTGAATCATTTTTTTTAAATATTGTTTTCGAAATAAATCGAAATAAAAATAATTGGATTGAAAACGAACTAAAATCTAAAATATAGGCCGGATAAAAAAATATATTTGCATGGATTCGAATTTAGTTAATGAGGCGAAAAATCAATTGAAAAAGTTCCTTTTTTTTAAAAAACTTGTATCAATTCTCAAGTGAAAATTACTGTCATTTGTAAGTTATAACCAGATATGTAACAAGGAAATAAACTATTATTAACTATGGTAAAATTAACTTTTTTCTTTTTTTGGTAAAGCACGAGCACTAACGTACGATTACAAAATAAAGAATATGATGGGAATTAGAGGATAAGGATGGGATATTTATTTAAATCATAATCTTTGACTCTTTTTTTTTAGTAAATGCAAAAATAATCAACTTGGCTATCTTTATTGATTCCAAATGGTTGCAATAAATTCCGCATCATTACAATAGGTTTCCTTTTTTCCCTCGCTTTACCTCTTGTTGTCATATTATCCCTTCCTGCTCCAACATAATCAACTTTATATATATTTTATTATTTAATCTGTCCACTTCTTATATCAATTGATATACAATGATTTTGTTTTCACATGGACCATTTTTATATTAAGAGAAAAAAATATCATGGAACAATTTTTGCTAATTTTTGGGTGACTGAAGTGAAATCCCAAATATACAATGAAATATGATGGTTAAGTCAAATAAAAATAACCCAACATATATCCATATGTAAATTTTACAATCTATTTAAATCGGGTTTATATATGGTCCGACATCATTTATGTAATATTTGACCATTGACCATCTCTTTTTTTCCCCTACCGAGCAACATGAAAATTACATCTTTGTCAGACATATTCGCTCTTTTTATTATTATTATTATTATTATTATTATTATTATTATTATTATTATTAGGGATAATTCCATTTAAAACCCTATACTTTTCTCTCGTTTCAATTTAAACCCTGTACTTTTTTTTGATCCAAAAAAATATTGTACTTTTAAAAATTGGCAATTAAAACTCTATACTTTTAAAAATTGGCAAATAAAACCCTGTACGAAAAACAATATTATTTAATACTGACATGACATTCTAGTCATCTGCCACATCATCAATCCCTAATATTTAATAATATTAATTAATAAAAAATAAAAATAAAATAATAATAATAAAAATAAAATTTTAAAAATTATATATATTCATAAAATTATACACATATATAAACATGTTTATAAAAATTTTAAAATTATATACATATATAAATATATTTATATATACATATATACATATATATACATATGATACATATATATTTATATATGTGTATAATTATTATATGTTTTATATATATATATGTTATATATGTATTTTTCCCTAAAAAATATTATATATATATATGTATGATTTTTAGAAAAAAAATCATATATCACACATACATAAAATATATTTATATATACACATATATCTATATAATACATACATATATATATATATGTATATATAAATATGTTTTATATATATGTGTGATATATACATGCTTTTCTAAAAATCATATATATATATATGTGACATATGCATAATTTTTAGAAAAAAAATACATATACCACATATGCATATAAAACATATATATTATATATATGTGTGTATATATATAAATATGTTTATATATATGTATATATGTATATCATTTTATTATATATGTATATGTATAATTTTTAAAATTTTATTTTTATTTTTATTATTTTATTTTTATTTTGTATTAATTAATATTATTAAATATTAGGGATTGATTATGTGGTAGATGACTAGGATGCTATGTCAGCATTAAATAATATATTTTTTCGTTCAGAATTTTATTTGCCAATTTTTAAAAGTAGAGAGTTTTAATTGCCAATTTTTAAAAGTATAATATTTTTTTAGATAAAAAAAATATAGGATTTAAATTGCGACGAAAGAAAAGTATAGAGTTTTAAATGGAATTATCCCTTATTATTATTCAGGACCCAAGTTTGGGAAAACGACAAATACGCAAACTCAACCACAATTAGTTAGAGATATTTGGATATTTTGATTTTACGGATATGAACCAACTAACCCCTTAAAAAAAGTCATTACAACATGGAAATATTATCCAAAATAGCGAGATAAGTAATTACATATCATAAACATAAACAAGAAATTAAAAAAAAAACAGATAATGCCGGCAAACAAAATACGATGAAATATAAGACACTTAAAAATGTTATAAATTGCAGAAATAAACCACAAAATACTTTCCTCTTTACAAAATCCTTGTCCCATTTTTTGGTCTGTCGAGCATTTTATTTACACAGGAAATCTCCATATTCACATGAACTCTGGGGTGATCGTACGTGTACTGTACCTGGTCGAGTCGACACGCCTCAGGAATCATTTGAACAACTCGGAGACCCACTCAATGTCAGGACCCGGAACCGCCAAGTCGACTCGGCCGAGTGAGTTCTCCTTGCTGAGTTTCGCGTACATCCTCGCCCTCAGCTCCTTCCCAGATTCCACCAGTTCCATCGCTCTCCCTTCTTCGCATGCAGCGTCCCACGCATCGATCTCGCCGAGTCCCAACCATGTCCGAGCCCGAGTCGGAGTCGTCGGCGTGCTGCAAAACCCGGGCCTCAAAACGGCACAGCCGCGCGATCCAAACCCGGATCCCACCGGCGAGCCCCAGGAGCCGCCGCTAAGTCGCATTTTCCGCATGTATGGGATGAGCCCGTCGGAGTTCGACGACATGGTCGGAGAGTCCGACGGCGGAGAGATCGGAGGAGAGACAAGGATCGAAGTCGGAGAAGAAGCAATCACTGATTTCGAAAAATGAGACTCGAATCGATTGCGAACACAGAGTCCGAGATCCGACTCGCCCGAACCGGACAATACACGTAGCTGTTCCGGCGTGTGAGCGAAGAAACATACTCTTCTCTGGCAACTCGTCCCGTCCTTACATGGTTGAGTCCGGTAACGAGCGGGATGGAGCCAGCACTCGAACACGCCATGAGCGAACTCGCACGAGTCACCTTTCCTGCAACTCCCCTTGCGGAACTCGGGACAAGCCGTGCCCGAGTAATGGTACTTCCTCGGATCGCGTCGTCGAGCTTTTTCGCCGGGGTGGGCAAATGGGCACTCGGTCCAGTCATGGGATCGGCTGCGCGAGCACCGACGCACCTTAAACTCGTACATGCGAAAATCGTCGCACGCGAACGCGTCAGCACCTGACTCGTCGCCGCTCAATGAGTCAGAATCGGCAGCAAACTCGTTTGACGGGAGGTAACGGTAGAGAGAGGCGATGGAGTCGAGGTAAGGAGACGGAGAGAGAGGATAATCTCCGACACCATTGAAGTTAACGGAGGAGAGCGTGACCGTTGGATCGGTTGGTGGGTCCCACGATGGGATCTGGACGGTCGGATGTGACCGAGAGCGTTCTCCGATTATCATTTTGCGAAATAGGCTTTTTCAGGTTGCGCTACGAAGAGAGACGACGTCCTCTCCACATTATAAACTGCTTAATTAACCATGGTTGAGTCAGATAACCGCGGTAAGGTTAAAGAAATCTTACTCTATCCACTTTAGCCGTACGGTTAAATTATGATAAACCGCGTAGGAGATATTTCAGCGCGTGACTAATCCATAGATCACCGCCTCACACGTCACAGGCCTCGACCTCGATCTCTGTCTGTGAGGAAAATAAAATCACAGGCTTGTGAGAATATCATGTCAGGGATAAACCCACGGGTTATTACGTGGCAGTTGGCACTTAAAGCAACGCGGTTCTCGTGATCGGAGAACCGAAGATATTTATATTTGCACGATATAATCGCGAGAATTTTAGATACGCTAATTTGGATGGGGGACACGTGGAGGCAAGTGGGGATAGTGGCGAACGAAGAGCCATCTGCTCGAGATTCGAGGCGCATGAGATGATGACACGTGGAGTAGTGAGGAACTACTTTGGCAGTTGAGATGCCGCCAAATTGAACGGCAAGGGAGCCGCCGGCGGATTTTCGTGCGGCGTAAAAATCTAATGGAAAACTTGCACATTATTCAGAATGACAAAAACTATACCTAACGTCTTTAATTAATATATTAATGTTTTGAAAATGATGTTATGTAATAGATGAAATTAAATTTATCACAAAATATTATTTTGAAATATAAAACCATATTTTGTATGACGAACAAATATCTATAACGGCATTTGTTTAAAAATAAGAAAAAATAAAAATATGATATTGGTAAAAAAAATAATATTCACCTTGGGATAGTCAAAATCTCCTTATTCATAGAAAAAAATCGGTAATTGGAATTGAAATTAAATAAAATTAGTGCAACTGAATAAAATGATAAAGTTTTCGAACCCATTGACTTGAGAATAGAGAATGGGAGGAAATATTTCAACGTTTGAACGGAGAAATTTTTTTAAAAAAAAGGACAATATAACATCATCACATCATAGTAAAAGACATATTCTTATAAATTCTTACCCTATGTTCTTGAAATATAATTACATGAAGGAAGGTAGCACTGTTTGCACATTTTTTTTCTTATAAAATGTCTTACTTGGTACAAATTATAAAGAACATAATTTATGTTATATTGTAAATGACTGGGAATTATGGAGTTTATATTGACAAAATTGAAAGCATATATTGACAAAGACCCATTAACATTTTATACTTTTAGCATAAGAAACAGAAAATTTAAATACTATGAATTAGCTATTTTATTTTGCCAGGTGAAATATTTTATAAAAAATTTATATAGACAATATTTTGATGATTTAGACGACATCATTTCTCCGCTTCCCAAATCGTTTTGTTATAATCGGAGAAAGTAAGGCCGTTCGATTTCCGACAGCGGAGGAAATCAACGGTCCAGATTGAATAACTTTCTTTGGAACTCAATCAAAGGGGAATCTTTGTAAATATCGCACTAACCAAGTATTTATCCGCCACGTATCACTTATCACGTGACCCTTAAACTAAACGGTCCACGTGGATGGTGTCAAAGCTCGTGAGTTGGCGGCGAGTCTAATTTGTCCTTTTTCTATTTTTTTCTGTACGTATTTTTGTGCTTCGTGTACGTTAGGAATACATAGAATAGAACACGAGCGAAAATCAAACTATTTTTGTAAAATAATAATCTATAAAAATATTTTAAGAAATCGTTATTTTGTATTTGTAATAAAATTGATGATATGGCAAAATAACCTATAAAATTGAAATTCGATTGGAATTCAGTTTTATGAGGGAGGGAAGGATAAAACGCAAGGGAAATGACAAAGAGAGATTAACATATCCAAATCTGTGGGGTCCACCTCACCGATATCCACATGATTGTGACTCACTCTTTGATTCCAAGGTTATCCACTAGGATTTTATTACACGCGGACAATCACACCGTATCATTTCTCGATAAAACCCTTTTCCTATGATTATTTTATACTAATATATTAAAAGTTGCTAAAGATCGACTTAAAAATATTAAACTACACGAATCTATATTAAACATTTTGTATAATAAAATCTCAAATTTGATTAATGAATTCATTTGATAAATTTTTAATTTAGAAGAAATGTATAAAATATTCAAATTATTGGAATATTGATTAAAAATAAATAATTTATTTAATGTATATGGGTATATTATAGCACATAGTGTACGGGCGAAATCCTCTTTAAATTTATTTAAATTTTGGGTAGGTAGGTAACTGTTAAAATATCGGTCCCTAGAGGCTAAAGTTTTCAACTTTTTGCTTCACTTGCAAGGTTCTTCTAAATCTGAAACTTATAAAAAAATAATTTAGGGGCTATGATAATGACCAGATGAAACAGCTGCACTAGAGTACCCTGTTTTCTGGCCCGACAACACAACACCAAGTTGATACTTTGACAAAAGTTGCAATAAAATTACAGTATGAAAATACAAGTTGCTATTTATTTATTTTAACTCCTCTGCACCATTCTTAAACTGTTCTTATTTGAATATATATATTTAAAAAAAAAACAAGTGCATGTTATAAATATCTCCAACACTAACTATAAAACAAGGGCCACCCTTGAGGATAAGTATTTGATTGAATAGAGGGCTTTTTTTTTAATTTCGTTATTGGGTCAAAAAATGAAACACCATTAGCTACAACCTTCGGCCTTAGGTGATACAACAATGGGCCGAAATGAAAACTTTCAAAAGCAGTCACCTGGTTAGGAATCAAGGCCCAACAAATGTATCAATTAAAGCCCATATAAAGGTGGAGTTCTACTTTTTCATGTTTAAATTATAATTTCTAAAAAACTACGATCATATAATATTTTATTAAATTTATGAATTTTATAATTTCTATATAAAATCATAAACTTATAAATTTTGAGAGAGTATGACAAGATTAGTAAAATTTTATGATTTTATATAGGATATATTAAAACTTCATGAAATTTCAGACGATTATCTTTTTATGAATAATATATGATAATATAATATTTTTTTTTTTGATAACGGAAGATCTCTAACTGCTACGCTTCGGGCGCGCTGACTAGGTAAACCTCCGGCCCGAGAGCAGCCTTTATATATGGATCATATAAATCCAGAAATTACCTCCCTCCCCATCAACCAGGAATCGAACACTCAACCTTAAGGTGGAGTTACCTCCTACCTCAAGTTTGACCACTCGTCCACGATCTGTTGGGTTGATATAATATAATATGAAATGGAAGAGGAAGAGAAATGTGCGTGCGTGCGTGGAGTGGAAAGGCATTAACACGCCAACAAAAGGAACGTCCACGGTCCACGAAAATCTCCCGACAGCCGAACACGTTGACAAAAGTCAACCCCTCTTTTTCTGCAGATTTGCCGTCTGTTTTGTTATGGAGCCACCACCACCACCTTTACTTTATATATATATATATATATATATATATATATATATATATATATACACAAAAAACATCATATATAT